GTTTCTTACAAGTCCCAGGGAGCTGACAGAAGAGTACCGGTTCTTTGGTCTTTTGAAAAATCACTGGGTCAGTGGGATGCCGAAAGGCTGAGGGTTAATAGGTAGATTGATCAAGGATGATTTAACAGATCAATGATGCTTAAAATAACAACAATAAAGTACTATTATTACACACAGTCAGAATATCCTAATTCAGTATCAAGGGAAATGGCTCATATAAGCAATTGTGAGTGAATTGCTCACCAGTTGTATTTCTGCCGTCGTCACTAAGTGTCAGTGAGCTGGCTCCAACTCATAGCGACCCTTTGCACACTGAGCGAAAGAGTGCCTGCTCCCCGACTCAGAATCTTGTTTTCAGTTTGGGTTTTGCTTGTACTGCTTGAACAGTTTAAATCTCTATTGTGAACTAGGTGAAGGTTTGCACACAGATGCTCACGTGTACAGGCAACAATTCATACACATTTTGTGTCGGTTCCTCCATTACAAGCCCCCCGACGGACCATCACCGAGTCCGCTCCGTTCGTGCGGTGTTGTCTCTTCATGCGCGGTGTTCGTGCTGTGATCCCACAGCTGGATGTTAGTGTCCAGTGTGTCCGATCTGCTCGTGAGACAGCCTCTGCATTCAGGTGGGATAGACTCGGGGCTCGTTCATCTCCAGATGCTGTCTACATTCCAGTGGGGTCGACTCGAGGGATCTCGTATTTTGGCTCACGTGGATTTGTTCTAATATTTTCAGTTTCAGCCTGAACTTGCAAAGGAGCGATTAGTGGTCGGTTTCATAGTCGCCCCACGGCCTGTGTTTGCTGATGACACTGAGCTGCTTCGCCTGCTCTTGCCGCAGTAGCAGTCGTTTTATTTCAATGAATTCCGTCTGGTGAAGTCCCTGTGTGGAGTCGCTGTTTGGTTTATTGAGAAAGAGGATTTGCAATGAAGAAGTGCTTGGTCTTGCAAAATTCTATCATGTAATCAATCTCCAGCTTCATTTCTATCACCATCATATTTTCCAATTATGCGCTCTTCGTGTCCCACTCTTGCATGCCAGTCACCGGCATTTATCAATACGTTTTGATTGTTTGATCAATTTCAGACTGACGAAGGTGGTAGAATTCCTCAATTTGTTACTCACTAGCTTTAATGGTTAGTACATATGTTTGAGCAATAGTTATTAACTGGACTTTCTTGTAGATGTGTAGGTTGATTATTACAGACAGCATTGTATGAAATTATGGGTGCTGGTAAGTCTCAAATCTCTGCACGCTGAAGGTGTCTACAATTTTTTTTCCCGACGAAATTTAATTTATTTGTCATTAGAAAGAAATATTTCATAATATATAATTACATACTGTTTTTGTGATTAATCACTATGCTTTGATTATGTTCAATTTGTAACAATGAAAATACATCCTGCATTTCAGATATTTATATTGCTATTCATAACAGTAGCAAAATTACAGTTAAGAAGTAGCCATGAAAAAAATTTTTTTTTCATTTTATTGGGGGCTCGTACAACTCTTATCACAATCCATATATACATCCATTGTGTCAAGCACATTTGTACATTTCTTGGAAAGCTTCTACAAATTCAAATAGCTGTACAGTCTGGCCAATTCCAGTACAAATATATACATCCTTGGTTACGTTAACCAGTAGTCTTGTAGTTCAGGCAGGCCTTTGAGGAAAGCGCTACTGTAAATAAAGCTTGCAGGTAACCCCGCAGACATGGGTCCTTTCAGCGTTGCTGCTGTTCTGATGCTGGGCTCCTGTTCTCTGTCTCCTCTTCCTGGAAACGTGATTACTAAAGCTGACCCCATACGCTTCATTTTGTTTTTGATGGAAATTGTTCCTCGTATAAAATTTAATGGTCACGAATTTGATTTAAGAGATTAGTTATCATAACCAGACATGCCCCCTGAGGGACAATTGAAAACAATTCCACTAGCTTCCCCATAGCGCATCAGAAAGAATGCGGTGGAACATTATAAAAGAGGCCTATGTGAGAGGCAAATTCATGACTGGCTTTATTTTTTGGGTATTCTTCTCCCCCACCCCACCCAAGGTAAAAAAGCGAAAACAGCTTAATCTTTTCATAGGCTTTGTACTGAACTGAATTGAATGTAAAACTATTTTATCTATAGGTCTTTTGCTTAAGATCCAAAATAAACATGATTTTCATACAGAGACAAAAGTTCTTCTATCCAATAGTTTTATAGTGAGGTACTTGAGTATTTTTATCTGAACAGGGAAAATTAGATCATTTAAAATATCCTTTTCCAAACCAAGCCTCTAATTCTTAGAGCCTAGTGCACATAAAATTAATGGTTGCATTCATGTATGTTTTCTATGTGGACAAATTTATTTACAAATACTCGTTGAGCAGCTGCTGTTTGGCAGGCACTGTTTTAGGTACTGGAAACCCAGCAGCGAACAAAATAAAGGACACATGAAGTGGGGAGGGCAGTTGCTTACATTTTCTTAGGTGCTAGAAAAGCACCAATAATGCGCTTCTGTCCTCTCGCAAACAAGTAGAAGATTGTTGTCTTAGGTCGAGTTCAGTATCTGCAGATTCGTGACTTACTGGCGGCATCCCAGTGTCTTCTGTCCCTGTTGTAAATGTCTAAATACGCTCACCCTCAGACATTGCCCTGTGGTTTTCCTCACTTGCTCATCGCTTCATTCTTTTCCTCAAGTGTTTGCCTCCTGCTACTGTGTTAACATGAATCTGTTCACGGTCCCAACCCACCCAGAGTCTGCGCCTTTACAAAGTTAGCAGTTCGAAACCACCAGCTGCTCCTTGAGTGGAAGATGAGACTTTCTACTCCTGTCAAGGTCTCAGAGCTCACAAGGGCAGTTCTGTTTTGTCTGTAGGGCCACAGTGAGTCCGAGTTGACTTAGGGCAATGAGTGTGTGTGTGTGTGTGTGTGTGTGTGTGTGTGTGTCCGTCCACTTTTCAGCTTTAACTAGATTGTAAATTCTTTTAGGATGCTTGTAATCAATGTCTTGGGTTTAGCATAGTGCTTTTATATGTAGTAGCATTTAGTATAAATATGTGTTCATCTCACTGTCATCGTAAAATTGCTTAAGTCAGCAATTTCTTTCAAATACATTCTACATTGAATAAACAAAAAAACCCTTGCATCTCATGAATGTTTTTCATAGTTCTTTTAAACTGATATTTGTAGTTAGAATTAAGCCTCCAGTTTATTAAGAAAATCGCGTAATTAAGCTGATGCGAGATGTCTTTGTTGGGTTTTCCTGGTTGAGGCACAGCCCCGGGCCGGGGGAGGAGAGGAGGAGCCACCCTTTCCAGCTGGGCAGAATCAGATAGCTAAAACAGTGTGTGTGGCCATGCCTGACACCATCTCTTTTACCCCCATTAATCGGCTTCCCTTATCCAAGTACAGTGAACCCTCGCCACTTCGCGCTTCGACTTCCGCGACTTCACTCTATCGTGGTTTTTGCGTAACAGCGCATGCTCTGTCATTACTGCCACTGATTGGCTTATACTGTACACGCTTGATGCCATAAATAATATAATAAATAATAAATGATAATTGTAACGTCCAAAATGTTTTACTGTATTTTCCCTTTTTTGTTTAATAAATTGGGTAATACGAGTGTAATGGTGACTAAAGGGTGTTTTTTCATGTCCTCTGTGCTCTAACTACGAAAATATTTGATTTACAAATAAGGAATCCTACTTCGCGGAATTTCATTTATCACGGTAGGGTCTAGAACCGATTAACCGTGATAAACGAGGGTTCAATGTACCTCCCTGGAGAGAGTGCTCCCTAGCATGTTTCTTTGTTAGCACCCCTCCCTTCCCTTTGCCTCCCCTTCTCCCCAAACTGTAAGCTAGATTTAATGACTTCCATTGTAAGTCTTGTTTTTCTCTTCCCTGGTGTAATTAATTATGAGCAAAATCAACAAGAAAGGGTCATTAGCACTTTCTTTTGTCTGGCTTCTGTCTTCAAGGGGGAGAGTCTCAGTGGCATGTTTGTTTCCGATGAATGAGTATTACTTCCTTAGGAAGGCGTGTTGATCTCAATGTGCTGGAAAAGGTTTGTATCAACACTGTATTTTTGTGGCGGCAGTGAGCTTTCAGAGGAGCCCTGGTGGCACAGCGGGTTAGGCATGAGGCTGCAGGGTCAGCGAGTCCCACCCACCAGTTGCTCTGAGGGAGAAGCAAGAGCCATGGAAACCCAAGGGCGCACGTCTAGTCTGCACCCTCACAGGGTGGTTGTGAGTCAGTTGGCTCAGTGGAGTGTTTAGATTTCAAATTTCAATATTCTGATTTTTTAGTGAGTTATAAATATGCTCGCTCTTGTTCCTCAGACTTTTTACTGGGACTGAGTCACGGTTCCGGGTGTGCCGTGTTAGTTTCAGAGGAGGCTCTGCTTCCTGGGGGTCCCGCGCCTGAGAGGCTGGGTTGGAGCGGACAGCCTCCCCTTCCTGCCAGTGGCTGGTGGAGTGGCTGCTGTTCTGACGGTAGCAGCCCACTGCTTAAGACTCATACATAGAGAATTTAATTCTTAATGGATTGAAGTTAGTAATTAGGTGAAACACTTTAAAATTGGTGATTCTCACTTTAGATTTACTTGGTTTGGCAGCAAACCTGACAAATCTTGAATCCCAAATATGCCTTTGTGGATTTTCATACTTATCAATTCTTTGGATAAAAGGGATGGTGGGCCAATGGATGGATGTTGATTACTATCCGGGCTCTCATAATATCTGTCTGCATTTTGAACGTTTGGTACGAGGACAATCACTAACATCTGTGTATCCCAAACTGAGTTGTTTGTCCCTATAAACTTACATGCTTACTTTTGTTTATTGTCTTTCTATACATACTTACTCATTATGCGTGTTACAATTTCTTCAGAACTTTTTTGCTAAAAACAATTCTTTAATGTATGTAAAAGTATGTTTGTAAAATAGTCAACTTTTAATCGACACCACTAGAATTGCACATCTCCTAACTTTGCACTAAATCCCGACAGGTTTTGGGCCCTGCCCCCAGGTGGTGCTCTTTCTTAGACAGCCTGACCGAGGAGCTGGAAGAGAACCCAGAGAGCACGGTGTACGACGACTACAAGTTTGTTACCAAGAAAGACCTTGAAAATCTGGGTAAAAAAATCATTATGATAAAAACTGTCTCGGAAACTTATTTTTACGCTTTTCAGTGTTAGAAATTACTTACCCACGTTTATCTGATTTTTCTACATCTTCTCTTTTGCCAAAACAACTATTAACTCTTACGTATCAAATTTATCATCTCTGTGCTTGGAGGTTCAGATAAAGTCAACCAACTGAATAAAGCTTTGCTTATTTATTTGATTTTCAATAAGGAGTTGGTTTATAACATACTAGCGCTCTATGACTCTCCTGCATTATCCCCCGAGCCCCACCCCGCCCAGTCGAGTCTATTCCAACGCACAGTGGCCCTAGACAACAAGGTAGAACCTGTAATGTGGGTTTCCAAGGCTGTCCCTCTTTGTGGAAGTAGAAAGCCTCATCCTTCTCCGTGGGATGACCAGTGGTTTTGAACTTCTGACCTTGTTTGTGGCTAACAGCCCAATGCATAATCCACTGCTGTGCTAGGGCTCCTTCTGTACACTAGCTAGGTACGCGTTTTCATGGAAGCAGTGATTTTTTACCCCCCACGGTAGCTCACAAGTTACAAGCAGATCCTTTCTGACACCCACCCCCACCCCCACCTACTTCCAGCGTGCTTGTAGCAGACCAAATCCATAGAACACGCAGGCTGAATCCTCATCTAAGAACAAAAACATACGTGCAGTGTTTACAGTGTGCCAGACCATGTTTTAAAGTGTTTTGCATGTAGCGCACGTAATCCTCGGACCTCTGGAAGATGCACTATTATAATCCCATTTGATATTTCAGGAAATTGAGGCACAGAAAGTTTCAAGTAACTTGTTAGAGGTTTTATTGGTGTTACAATGAAACCTCAAAAAGTACATGGGAAAAGTTCCATCTTTTAATTCCATGTCTGGGAAATTCTGTGAAGCCCCTTGACGAATGCGAGCATGGAGTTGGATCTCAGGCTGTATGCACGCTTCCTCAGCCGTGCTAATCCCTCAGGCCCCAAACCAGAAGCTCATTGCCATCAAGTTTCTCCCCGCTCCTAGTGACCCCGTAGGAAGGACAGAAAAGCACTATCCCAAGCATCTCCAAGACTAATCGCTACTGGACCAGACATCTTTGTCTTGTATAGTGGCTGGTGGGTTCAAACCGATGACCTTTAGACTGGCAGCCAAGCGCTTATCCACGTGGTGCCACTTAGTCAGTGTCTTTGTTTTGCATGAAGAAGACAGAAAGATTGAGGACTCCTTAACCCTTAAGGGAGCATGTTTATTCCACGTGCCTAACAGTTTGTAGGATTGAGAGAGTGCATTTTACTAATCTTTTCTATTGTTGGAAAAGGCCTGCATAGGTCATTGTCAAGAGTGAGAAAACTTAGGGATATAGGCAACTCAATTCCCTTTGGGGAACAAATAGTTATAAATAGAGAGTTTTTCAACTTTATATTTAATCTGTATCTCATAGCATACTTAATCCAGGCAAGAATTAATTTCTACCAGTTACCACAAAAATAGCCCTTTAAATGTTAACGTCTTTGAAACACAGAAAATTGAATTCACTTTGTCAAGATGACTTGCGCATGAAATAAGACTCCTTTTTTCCTCAGAAGATCTCTTTAGACTAGTATTCTGTAGAGCTCGCTGTAAGAAATGCTGCTGCCCACAGATTCTCTGTTTGGAATTAAATTATCTTAATGTGAAAAGTTACCAAAACTCAGCCACCTACCACCGAATCATTCAGACTCCTAGCACTCTGACCCACAGGCTTCTGAGACCACACGTCTTTACAGGAGCCTCATCCCTCTGCAGTGCGGCTGATGGCTGGACGCCGCTGACCTTGCAGTGAGTGCCCCACACCAGCCCCCCGGCACCACGGGGCCCCTTTACAAAGGACTCCATATCCCACCCATGCAAGCTCCTCTTCATGAGCGTATGTAATGTGCAGTCTCTTTTTGGGGGTGGCAAAAAGTACTAAGGCATCACTTATACAAGTAAGCAGGTTAGAATTAGCTACACATTTGCCAAGTCAGCAATTTTTGCATTTATAATTAATTTGGTGGCACTGATTTGGTTCCTCGTCTTGTACAATCATATTTGTGGCCTTGTTAAGGCAAAATTCTCCTAACATTTCTCTATGTATTTGCAATTCATAAGGTAATTGGTACGAGATAGGAAAGCTTCCCAGCGTGACAGTAGAAGAGCTCCCCACCTATTGTTGGTCCCCAAATGACTTTTGCAATTGACCTGATTCATAGAATCTCAAGCTCAAAACTAGGTGCCGTCGAGGCTGTGCCGGCTCTTAGTGACCCTCTGGGGTAAGGTGGGACGGCCCCTGTGGTTCCCGAGACTCTTAACTGTTTGCAGGAGGAGAAAACCCGTTTCTAGAAACCAGAAAACCATTCGTATAAGGAGCATTTTTTTTAACCAGATGTCAGTGTTCATATGAACTTTAAAAAGGCATTGTTGAGCTTAGTGTTACCTCTTAAAATAAGGATGATGTAGTTGCAATAGATTTAATTTTCCTCCATAGTTAATTGAAGACCAGTACTTTTAATCCGCTAACTTTTACTCAGAGGTGACATCTTGTTAAAACCAGTTGTTGCTCAGTAAAAATGCCCTCATGAAAATTGTATAAGGACCTGCCTTCTTCTAATTGACTAATTTTTCCCAGGACTCACGCATCTAATCGGATCACCTTTTCTCCGGGCGTACATGCATGGATTTTTCATGGATATAAGGCTCTATCACAAGGTAAACATGACACTTTGTTTTCCTGTAAGTGATTCTTGGGCAATCTGTACCCATTTCTACAACTCCCTTGTACTTTCCTAGTGTGGACTTATGATTTCTAAGGAATCCATCTAGTCTCTGGCTTAGTGGTCATAATATATGTGAAATATGCTGCTCAGTAGGATTCGTTCATTTGCTCATTCATTTGTTTTCCTCTTGAAAAGGTGAAACTGATGGTAAATCCGTTTGCCTATGAAGAATATAGGAAAGATAAAATTCGACAGAAGATAGAGGAAACCCGGGCTCAGCGAGTTCAGTTAAAGGTAAGTGGGGCTCCCCACGGAATTGACAGCAGAAATGCTCCACGTCTTGCGTTCTGTGCCAGGGAACCCCACCATCTTTTCCTCAGCTTTCCATCCTTAATTTGTGTCTTTTACTAATGTTCAACCTATGTTATAGTTCTCATACGAGTGAATATTCTTTTGTTTTACCATTATGAACTCTGCTATAATGGGAAATAACTCTAGATGGAAAGATATTGTCAGTTCTACTAAGTTTGGCTAATACCTACCTCTCCTGATATTTCACCGTATCACAGGTTACCTCTTGGGATAGTAGGGAAAGGTCCTTAGATGTCAGGCTCTCGTCCGTAAGCAGAAACCATATGACTAGAGGACATATGACTATGAACAGAAGCCATATTAATAGAGAACATTGAGGGAGGGAGGGGAAAAATGAGGACCTAATGTCGGGGGTTTAAATGGAGAGAAAATGTTTTGAGAAACGATGTACAAATGCGCTTTACACAATTGATGTGTGTATGGATTGGGATAACAGTTGTATGAGCCCCTAATAAAATGTTAAAAAAAAAAAAAATAGAGAACATTGAAATGTGTAGAATGACTAGCCAAGTACTGGAGGCTGCGAAAGCAGAAAGCCCCAGAGCACCGTAGTGAGCTACATTGCAGCCAGCAGACACTCCGCCAGGTCTGGGGCGAGAGGAGGGGTCCCAAGGAGCTGGTGCTGGGCTCCTGAGCCCCAAGAGCCTGTTCCTGGGAACACTGCCCTGCCGCCCCAAACTAGACTCGGCTGCGGCTTCTGGAACCGCCTGGCTGCCAGAGGGACCAACTGTGGGATGGACCCCATAGAGCAGTGAGTGTGTTTGTTTGGGCAAGGACTTGTGATAGCGTAGTTTTGTTTATAGTGTTATCAAAATTCCCAGGCTCACCTCTAGAATTCCTCCTTGGAAATTTGCCGCCTAGGGAACAGGAAGGACAGAATACAACTGATCCTCAAAGCAGTTCCCACCAACTCCAGGAGGCGACCAGGCCTCCTGGCTTCTTGCTAATCAGTTGTGGGTCTTAAGTCCCGCATGGCCTATTTGAAAGTTGCCAGATATGAGGAGGCTCCAGAAAGTTCACAGGAAAGTGGAACTAAAAGATAATGGGATTTTCCATGAACTTTTAAAAGCCACCCCACCTTGCCTCCGTATAGTTCTTTCTCCCAGTTTGCTGCTCAGTGGGCTGAGAAAAGATGTGGGTGCGGGCAAGGCCTTTCAGCATCAGGCTGATGCTGCTGTGTCTTTGGCATTTGCCCTGAAAATATTACCTGTGTCCACATTCTTTCCTACTCTGGGGAAGATGTAATTTTAGAATTAGAATTTGGTGTTTTTGTTTGTATAATGTTAACTCCTTATAGAGCTATTGTCCTTTCAGGCTGTGGTATCAATAGCTTGGTACAATTTTTTTTCCCTCCCTCCCTGTACTAGAAATTACCCAAAGTTAACAAAGAGCTGGCACTTAAACTGATGGAGGAGGAGGAAGAGAAGCAGAAGTCCATGTGGAAAAAGAAAGTAAAGGTAAGGGTTTTGTGAAACTGAGAAAAAATGGTCATAGATGGTCTACGTGTCCTTGCCAAAACTTGTGTCTCTTTATTATTGCGGGGCTTAAGTGGCCAGTGGTAGGGTCCTCCCTTTGTCTGCGGGAAGCCTGGCTCCAGTTTCTAGCCAGTGCCCTGGTGGGAACTCCTGCTCGTCTGTCCATGAGGGCCGGCAGGCTGCTGCAATGCTGAAACCGCTCCAAGACCCCACAGACGCACTAGGAAGACAGGTCTGGAACGCTGCCCCTCCACACAGCAGCCCCAGAGATGGTGTGTTTTACTGTGGGTGTGGCTCGGGGTCTGTTTAGACAGCCTCGTTCTGTGGTCCCCAGGTCACCATGAGTCAGGGCCAACCCCGTGGCAGCTAGCAACAGATCTTTGTTTTCTTTACAACTTAAATTGTTTTCCCTGCTTTGTACGGTGCTTATATGTTCACTGTGGAAAGTTCAGCAACACCGGTAATTATTCTCCCCAGAGAAGGGTACCACTAATATTTTAATGAATTTCCTTCCTGTAGCAAGCTCATTTTATATACATAAAATATTTTTCCGAGTTCTGTAACATTAAGTAGTTTCCTATTGTGTTAAAAGTTCTTTCTAAGGATGTTTAATGCCTACAACCGTCTACCTTTTGATTATACTGGAATTTACCTAAGTTTCTTATCGCTCACTGTCTGGATGGTGCCTTTGTCTTTGTCCCCTTCTAATTCCCGATAGATTTTTATTCATACTTGAAATTATCAGGAGGGTGCTGTGTATATATCACTGCTGTACCTTTTATTTTTCCTAATGTGGAAACAGCTGAAGGTAAGTAATAAATAAATACACCTTAGTGCTTCATTTACCTGGTGACTGTCAAGACATGCAGAGATGTTTCTTATTTCTCCAGACGTGTTGGCATTTCTCTCTGTCTTCCCGAAATGTGATTTTAGTCTGCTGCGCTCAGGAAGGCAGGTAACCAAGCTTGGTTGTGACTAGAGTGAGCTGTGAGAGTCAGCTGTCTTGGAAGAGCCCGAGGACTCTAGGTCTGGGTGCTGTTGACTTAGGGGGCTTATGTTCAGCCCAGCACAGTGTCACCCTGTCCTGTGCTGCCTTCAAGGTCTTTGACGGGCTAGAGCCCGGGAGTCCCTAAAGCATGGTTTTGGTCCTGCGATTTCGAAGTAGATTTAAACTCACACCTCTTTCTCGGTATTTTCTGGTGTCTTATCCGTTTGTCCTACCCGCAATCCAATCTATTGCATTCTTTCATTACATTATCTGGAAATCTTCACTTTGGAAACCTTCCTTAAGTGTACAGAGAGATGGCTTTTGTATTTCCATTTTTGTTATATGGGTAATTTAATATTATGCTTTGTGAGTCTATGTGATGGCTGCGCACCTGCCTGTTTTACATCAATGTTTAAAAATGTGTATGCACAGCTTAAGTTGTTCAAGGGCTTCCTGCCCTTGACTTCTCCTTGGAATTTGTGCATTGATCTCAGCCAGTGCAAGGATGATCAGAGGAGCCGCTTTACAGGCGTTACTTCCCGAGCTAGCTCTGCATGTTCTGGAAAGTGTTGGGTCGCTAATCTCAGGTCCTCCTAGGGAGAAAGATGAGACCATTAGCCCCCCTAAAGATGGGCAGCCGTGGAAACCCTCCATGGGATCACTGTGAGTCAGAGCGGACTCCAACACAGTGGGATTAGATCAGTGCCACAGTAGGAAGTAATGTAGACACTTTCGTACATCAGTTTTTTCATGTTTATGAGTGCCTATCATTTCATTTAACGTTACAGAAGATAAGACCAGTTAAATTTTGATACCTTGTGCAGCATGTCTTTGCCTTAACTAATGGCCATTCTCTCTCTACGCCTGGCTGGTCATCCAACATTGTATCTCTTGCCCTTCAATATTGTTAAGTATCTCTAAGAGTTGTTTTAATATTTAAGCTTTGGACAGCATCCGTTCTCTGGGACATGTTCTTTTTTGTTACAACCGCTTTCCTGGTTCATGTCTGGAAGTTACTGTGGCCACACATCTCGAGTCTCCCCATAGCTATTTGTTCATAAGTCTTTTACATTCTACTCTCAGTTCCTTTTCTCCGCTGCCCTCCCTCTCACTTTGTGGGCCAGTACTCTTTTAGTTACATATTTTATAAAATGCTGCACGGTCGGTCCTCGGGAGTCAGAGAGACACCACCAGGACCTCGTGCTTTTCCTGCCCGAGTGGGAGTGGAATCCCTGTGACCAGTCACCAGCAGACTTTGAAAGAAAGATGTGGCTGGCCATGGTCCACACCTGTTCGATACAAAAGGGTTCATGAACAATGGTGAGCAGCGAATTTCTACTCTGTACCAGTGCTCCCAGTTAATATCCCATGGAAACTACAGTTAGAACCATGTTGTTTGGGGACCAACTGCACCTTGGTTTCAAACTGCAAACTTATTCCTATTGTTACCTGTGTGAAGGAAGGACTTCCTGTAGTGTAAGCTCTCTCCAGTGAACTCTGAGCTCCGCTGGCATCTCCTTTATGCCCATAGCTTCTCCAATGTGAACACGTGAGATCGGGTTTATTTCACAACCTAGTGGTGCATCTCTCCTCTGCCCCGGTTTTCACTCGGTGTTTATGCTCTGTTGTCCAGGGAAACAACCGCCAGGAGAGTAAACAATGCATTGCATTGGGTACAGAGAGTAAAGAGGCCCAAGACTCGTTAAAGTGTAGAAAAGCAAGGATGTGCCTCTGAGGTATTTACAGTCACCTCATATGCACGTGAAAGTTGGATATTGAATAAGCTAGACCAAAAAAGGATTGATATGCTTGAATTGTGGTGCTGGTGAAGGATATTCAGCGTACTATGGACTGGTCAAAGAACAAACCCATCTGTCTTAGAAGAAGTGCAGCCAGAATGCTGCTTAGCCAAGGACAGCAAGGATTCATCTCACAGACGTTAGACATGTTGTCAGGAGAGACCAGGCCCTGCAGAAGAGGGCACATCATGGTTGGTAAAGTGGACAGGGCAGCAAACACGAGGAAGGCGCTCGGTGCAATGGATGGACATGGTGGCTGACCCAAGGACAGTTCTGAGGACGGCGCTGGAGCCAGTAGTGTTCGGTTCTGTTGTGCGTAGGGTCACCTTGAGCTGGAACCAACTCGGTGGTCACTAACAACACTGGTTTCACGCCAGGTGTAGGCGGGGAGCAGCGGCAGTGTTTTCACTTCCTGGGATTGGGTGAGAGGCGCACAGAGGAGACTGGTTTTCCGTGAAACAGTCCATGGCAGTTTGCCTCAGGTCACGGGTGACCGTCTCACGCTGTACCATTGCCTGTCTTTCTTTCTCCTGTGTTTCCGGTTTCCATCCTTCCGTCTTTGTAACCCTTCTGAAGTTTGTCCTTTGGATCTCAAAGAATCGATTGTTCTAAGATGTTATCGTTCCCTTGTATCTGTCTGTTGATCGGCTGAAAGTTGAACCATGGGAGTGAGTCCACCTCTAGGCCTGCAGCGTGACCAAGGGACACAGTGTCGTGACCAAGGGACACAGTGTCGTGACCAACGGACACAGTGTCGTGACCAAGGGACACTGTCGTGACCAAGATACAGTATTGTGACCAAGGGATACAGCATCGTGACCAAGGGGTACAGCGTCGTGACCAAGGGACACAGTGTCGTGACCAAGGGATACAGTGTGGTGACCAATAT